GTTTATTTGATTCATTAGATTCCACATATGAGTGAGATCACGTGATACTTACCTTTCTCTGACTGGCTTATTTCGCTCAGCATAATATTCTTGAGGTCCATCCATGCTGTTGCAAATGATGAGTTATTTTTTATTGCCATGTAGTATTCCATTGTACCATAGTTTTTTATCCACTCATCTGCTGATGGGCATTTAGGCTGTTTCCAAGTCTTAGCTATTATAAATTGCACTGCTATGAACATAGGGAGATATATATATATGGTATATATATTGGGGGGGGGGTGCATATATTCTTTCACATATTTTTTGATGCAGCAATTGAACCAGGTTTAATATATTTCATTTGCTGTTTTATTTCCTTTCCTGTGAACTATTTGTTGATATCTTTTCCCATTTTTGCTAGTATACCAGTATTAGGTTATTATTATTGTTTCTCCTTGATCTATAGGAATTCTTTATAAATTAGGGAAATTTATCCTTTGTGAAATGTGTTGCAATTTTTTTTTTAGTTTGTCATGTCTATTAGTTGAAAGACTATTTTCTTGTCATCAGAAATTTATTTTAAATAGTTGAAATTATAAAAAATACTTGTAAATGCCTTCTCTAGTGTGAGATTATTTAAAATCTCAGTGATTTCTTCTAAAGTTTTTATGGTTTCATTTTTTAAATTTAAATCTTTGATTCACTAGAAATTTATACTTTCTGGTGAATACAATTTTATTCATGTGATACAATTTTATTCATTTCCATATCCCTGTGTAGTTATCTTAAACTGTTTATTGAATAACTCATTCTTTCCTCACTGATAAGAAATTATTGTAAGTGTATGTGCTGGGGGGTGGGAGTGGCTGGGGAGAGGTCAATGGGGAGGAAAAGGAGACATGTAATACTTTAAATAATAAAGAATTTAAATTAAAAAAAGAAAAGAAATTATTGTATATTCAACAAGAGAAAAACAGGAAATGGAAGGACAAATAGAAAAATAGACAATGATTATAAACAGGAAATTTACAAAGAGGAAATTTAAAAAACAGGCATATGAAAAAGATGTTCAAATTCCTTAGTCATCAGAGAGATGCAAATTAAAATAATACCTGGCAAAAAATAAACTGGATTTGGTGGTGGCAATGCAGTGGAGGGCAGGAAGTGATACAGGAATTCGCATGCACTGCTTCAGCTATTCTGGACAGCAGCCCCTTAATGTGTATGGGTATCTTAGGACCCAACAGTTCTAACCTAAGTATTTGTCCCAAATACATTTTCACACAGATCCAAAGGACACATGAATGAGTATGTTCATAGCTGCTCTGGGGTGATAAGGGGGAGCAGGAGGCACTTTGAGTGCCCATCACTAAGTGAATAGACAAAACATAGCATTGCAGATTACTACTCAAAAGTTATAAACCAGCCCAGCCAGTGTGGCTCAGTGATTGAACATCGACCCCTGAACCAAGAGGTCCCGGTTTGACTCCTAGTCAGGGCACATGCCCGGGTTGTGGGCTCAATCCCCAGTAGAGGGTGTGTAGGGGGTGTGTAGGAGGCGTGTAGGAGGCAGCTGATCCATGTGTCTCTCATCGATGTTTGTATCTCTCTCCCTCTCCCTCTGAAATCAATAAAAATATTTTTAAAAAATATATATGGTGTTCAAAGAAGCAGGCCCACACCAAGACACATCATAATTAAAATGCCAAAGGTTAAAGACAAAAAGAGAATCTTAAAAGCAGTAAGAGAAAAGCAGTTAGTTACCTACAAGGGAGCACCCATAGGACTGTTAGCTAACAGATACTTCGCAGACCAGAAGGGAGTGGCAAGAAATATTCAAAATGATGAAAAGCAAGGACCTACAATCAAGATTACTCTACCCAGCAAAGCTATAATTTAGAATTAAAAGTCAGATAAAGAGCTTCACAGACAAGAAAAAGCTAAAGGAGTTCATCACCACCAAACTAGTATTACACGAAATGTTGAAGGGTTTTCAGAAGAAGGAAGAAGAGAAGGAAGACGAAGGTGAGGAGGAGGAAGAGGAGAAGGAGGAGAAGGGAGAAGAAGAAAGGGAAGGAGAAGGGAGAAGAAGAAGGGGGAAAAAGAAAAGGGAAGAAGAAGGGAGGAGAAAGGGGAAGAAGAGAGGGGAAGGAGAAGGGAGAAGAAAGGAGAAGGGGGAAGGGGAAGAAGAAAGGGGAAGGAGAAGGGAGAAGAAAGGAGAGGGGAGGAAGGATGAAGGAGAAGGAAGAGAAGAAAAAGATAAAATATGAATAATAAAATAGCAATAAATACATACCTACCAGCAATTGAATCTAAAAGTCAAAATAAACAAGGAATCTAATGAACAAAATAAACCGATGAATAAAATAGAACAAGAGGCATTGAAACATGGAACAGACTGAGGAATCTTAGAGGGAAAGGGGAGAGGGGGGTGATGGGAAGAGATTAACCAAAGATCTTTTTTAAAAAAATATATATTTTATTGATTTTTTACAGAGAGGAAGGGAGAGGGATAGAGAGTTAGAAACATCGAAGAGAGAGAAACATCGATCAGCTGCCTCGTGCACACTCCCCACTGGGGATGTGCCCGCAACCCAGGTACATGCCCTTGACTGGGACCCTTGTCAGGGTCCCTTGACTAGGTCAGTCTCCAGCACGAACCTGGGACCCTTGAGTCCGCAGGCTGACGCTCTATCCATTGAGCCAAACCGATTAGGGCTAACCAAAGATCTTATATGCATGCATGCATTACCTATGGACACAGACAATAGGGTGATAATGGCCTGGGGTGGGGCAGAAACCAGGTGGAGGGGTAATGGGGGAAAAATGGGAGACATCTGTAATACTCTCAACAATAAAGATTTAAAAAATATATGGTAAAAAGGGAAACAAAATTAGATATATTACAATGAATTTACAAATTCATAATATATGCATGCAAAATAATACACATATTTACAAGCTCCCACACCAGTGAAAAGTTAAACTTTAGAATTTCTGTAGGAGGTACAGGACAATACGAAAAATTTCAGAGGGAGGGAGAGAAAGAAAAGATATATTGAGAAGGGCCTTGCATAGACCAATGAGGATAATGTGCCACAAAATAAAGAAGCTCCTCAAAACCACGAATAATCTCCATTTGCCAAATGCAGGAATCATCTCCCTGTCCTTGTGACCTGGCCCCTACCTCTTGCTGGGGATTTATCTCCTTTATCTCCCCCCTATTTGTTCGCTGTCCTCCAGCTATCCTGACCTTTCTTCCAATCGTCCTAGTTCACTCCCTCTGCAGATCTTACCTTCGCTTTTCTTTCTCTGTGGTACCCTCCTTTATGATCTTCTCAAGACATTCTGTCTTAAATATGCCTTCCTCAGAGAAGACTAGCATAAGTCATGAACTGTATTCCAGAGTATCTATTAATGTTGATTCTGTTTATCTCTGTTATTGCCAATTAAGTTTTTCCTAACTTTTAACTCTAGAGGGCAAACCATCTTACTTTGCAGCTAGGACAGAGAGTGATATAATACTATAAAAGTATTTTAGACATATTAATATCACTCTGTTGCAAGACTGGAGGAAAAGAGACTTTAGACAGAAAGGTGACAAAAATGCGACT